GCGCGAGTGCGGGCGGAGGCAGCGGCTGAGTCTCCACAGGTGAGCCCATCTTTTATACGACCATGTAAGAAATGACTAAAATGCCCTTGGTGGGCCACCAAATTTACAGGCGGTGGCATGCCCAGCCTCGATCCGACGACCGTATCGTTTCGTCTGAGATCCAACGGCCGACATCGATCCATCTCACGATCCAACGACCAGAACTCGTTTGGACACCCAATCCGACGGCCCAAAATCCAAACGAACGGGAGAGCTCCATTTCGGTTCAGACTCTAACAAGGGGATGGGGCAGGGGGGGCAGCCCCCTTTCTTTCAAAAAAAACCATGCACGCAGAAAATAGAAGCAAGTCGAGAACTCAAACTCGGTTGGCTACGGCCGTACCGCGCATGCACGCTAACACAACGCACGGGAAGAGCCTGCTTGCCGACAACGACCGTACGCACCTACTCGACCGAGCCATCAGGCGGATGCGGCGAAGCCCTCCTCCTCCTCATCGGCAGCGTCCAGGGCGTCGGCGCGCTGGGCGTTGGTCCTGAAGCAGCTGAAGCGCCGGATCTCGCCCACGTTGCCCGCCAGCTTGGGCGCCCTGGCGAGCTTCTCCATGGACCTGGCGAACTGCCCAAAGAAGGCGTGCTTGCTCTGGGCGAACCGCTTCACGATGGCCGCCGTGGTCTTATTCTTGACGAGCGCCATGTCTGAGGTGCGCACGCCCTGCTTGAACCGCAGCGCCTTGTAGTACCCGTTGTCGAACAGGTCGGGGGTGACCACGTCCAGGTTCTGCAGCCGGTCCGGGTGCTTCCTGCAGTTGGCCGCCAGCTTCCGCGAGAAGGTGTCGTCCGCGCGCCGGTACCGGTCGGCGAAGCTGTCGCAGTGCGACCGCCCAATGGTGTGCGCGCCGGAGAGCGCCACGAGGTCGGCCACGTCGCCGAGGCCCCGGGTGCGGAAGGACTCCACCAGCGCGGCCACGCTTGCCATCGTGGGCGACGTGAGGTCGGACACATTCTTCTGTGACGCCGGGGCCAGGCTGTCGAGGTTGCCCTGTGGCACGGAGAACCAGGGCCCGCCGGACACGATGATGCTGTCGCGGGTGGCGAGCAGGGTGATGTCGGCGCATGACACAACGGACCCGCAGGTGGCATGCACCCTGGCGCGGATGGACTCGATGAGCTGCATGGCGCGCGACCTGATGGTGAGGTTGGGGAGCAGCGCCGTCTCGCGGGCGGAGGTGGTGTTGAGGAGGATGGAGGCGTCGCAGCCCTGCGGGAAGAGTCGTGGAAGTAGAGCCGGAGCAGGCCCGCCGCCACCGCCACCTCCTGCTGCAGCGCCGCCACCACGGGCGACCGCACGATGCCGTCGAGCTGCGGGCACGACGCGGCGTGGAAGCCCGGAGAAACGCCGACGTCGCCGGTGAAGACGGGTAGGGACATGGCCGGGGAGACCAGCGCGGCGACGGTGGCCAGGACGGCCAGTACTACTACTGAGCTGCTGGTCGCCATGGTTTCTTTGGTGCGGAGCTTGAGCTGATCCTAGCTTGACTGGCCTTGTGGTGTCCTCACAGCAACCAGTGGACGTCATTTATAGGGACTGACTACAGGTCAGTCGACTGAATTTCTATCTGGATCAGTCACTTTTTTTCTCTGCATGCAGCGTGTGATGTGGTGTGTTGTGTGCGTGCGCGTGAGCTAGCTAGCTCCGGTTGGCCGCGTCCCTGCGTGAGAGCATCTCCAACAGCCGTGCTATGCGCCGCGCGCAAAAAACCTATTTGCCGCGCGCGCTTCGGCTGGTTTAGCGCGGCCGCGAGCGCTGACTCCAGCAGCCGCGCTATAATGCAGCGCGCGCCGCTCCAGCAGCGCACAAAAATATAGCGCGCGTGACTCACCCGGCGCGCGCGACTTAGCTACAAAATGGGTTTGAAACAATTATCAAAATGCAATGAACATGTGAAATTTGTCAAACATCTTCCAACCAAGTCATGCCCACAAGTTCATACCCACAAGTTCATCCAACCAAGTTCAAAATGCAAAGTAAAGTTCAAGACATATAAATGAAAGACACATCAAACATCTTTCTCGTCTTCGTCCTCATCTTCCGAAGACGATTCTTCCGCCTCCGAAGATGAATCTTCCTCCCTATCCTCATCACGCATCGCATCACGTGAAGCTCCGACGGTGTTCGCAAGATCTTCAACGGCATCTTCCGCTAGGG